CCCCTACTCTCTCGGCGTGGTGGAGTGTTGATCTGCGAGTACACTGTATGATTGGTCTTGTAGTTTGGTGAACATTCAATTGGTGACAGATGAAGTTTGGATCAATGCCAGGCATGTCATACGGTGTCCAAGCAAACACTTCGATGTTAGAGGTCAAGAATTCCATGACCTTTATTCTCTCGGTGCTGGACATAGATGAGCCAAGCAAAAAGAACTTTTTTGGGTCCTTTTCATATATTCTTACCTGTGCCAAGTCTTCCACTGCCTTCTGTTCAGCGGCTTTGCCAACATCTGCAAACAATTCATTGCTCTCAGGTTCTTCCACCATCTTAACAAACCCTTTGGCAGCTCGGCTGCCATTTACTGTGACGAAGCACTGCTTGGACATAATTTGGTCTCCAAAGACCTCTTCAATTACTCCGACTTCGTTGGGAAACCGCATTACTTGATGGTAGATTGACGCTACCGATCGCATGGCATGCAGCCATGTCCTTTCCAAGATTATGTTGTAAGTGGAAGTGACTTTTAATACCCAGAATTCCACTTGTTTCGTCATGCTTCCTGCTCTGACTGGGAGGATAATCTTGGCGACTGGCCACTCTAGCATTGAGTTGAATCCGATCAAGGGAGATATGGCAGGTGCCAAGTCTTTGTCCTCCAGTTTCAGTTGTTTGAAGGTTTCGTAATACATTATCTCACATGAGCTCCCTTGGTCAATCAAAATTTGCTGGACGTCGTAATCCTTGATGCGGAGAGTGACGACCAGTGCATCGTTGTGAGGGCAATATATCCTTGCCAAGTCTCTGTCTGAAAAAGACATGACGTTCGTGGCCTCTGTTCTCCCCTTTTTAATGGTAGGCTGCGCACTTAATACCTCCCTTAAGTGCTCGGCCTTCTTTATCATTCCCCTGAGTTCACATACTCGCACCGGTTCGAATACCCCATGTATTACGTTTATCACGCCATGAGGTGGGGCGTCGATCGGCGTTTCGTCTGGGTGATCGTGGTTTTGGGGGGCTGGGTGTGTCCCTCCTTCTATGTACTGGTCAAGGTGCCCAGCTGCCACTAACTCCTTCAGGTGTTATCTTAACGGCGTGCAATTTTCAGTGCGGTGCCCTTTTTCCTTATAGAAAGTGCACCGAGATCTTTCGTCATAGTCCTTTTGTGCTTCCCCTAGTTTAGCTAGCCATAGGATGAAAGGCTCATCACGTATTTCACTGAGAATCCGATAGATTGGTTTCTTGAACACCGTGGTGATGGCAGTGCGAATTCTTAACCACCTTTTATCTTGGTCTTCTCCATTGTCCCACATGCCTCGCCCCTTTCTGCTTGGACGTTCTACCGCGTTAACTTTTGCCGATGTCTTTTTATCTGGTATTGCGGTTGTACCAGACTTTGTTTTAGCATGGGCGCCATCCTCCTCCACCCGAATGTGCTGGTGTACCCTCTCCATTAAGGCTTCCATTGTGAGGGTGGACGTCATGGTAATTGAGTCCCTCAGCCTGTTTCCGACTGGAAGACCCCTTTTGTATTGCGCGATAGCAAGATTTGTGGGGCAATCTCCTATCTGGTTAAAGGTCTCCCGATAACGACTATTGTAGGATCTCAACATCTCCTTGTCGCCCATGTCAATGGAAAGTAGCTGATCGATCTCTACTGGTGTCTTGGTGTTCGTTCTGAACCTTGTCATGAACGTCTCCGCTAATTGCGCCCAAGAGGCTATGCTGCCTTCTGGTAGCCTTTCGAACCAGGTTAAACCTAGGTCGCCAAGGCTGGATAGGAATAAGATGCACATCAAAGCCTCGTTCCGCCGGTACACTGCCATGACCTGGCGAAAGTGGCTTAGGTGCATGTAGGGGTCTGTTTTCCCCTCGTAAGTCGTAAATTTAGGCTGGATGAAGCCTGAAGGTAAGGGTGCGTTCTCAATCGCCGGAATGAATGGCGAGCTATGTAGCCTTGCCAATGCTTTATCTGTTGGTTCGTAGGCAAGGTGCGGTATTGGCATTCCTACCTCGACGCTTCCATGCGTCCGAGAAGCTAACCGCTGAAGGGCTGAAATTCTGTGCGGGTCGTGTGCCCTGGCATCCTCCTTCTGTCATGCCCTTTCTTCAAGCACAGTCCGTAAGTCAGACGATCTAGGCAACTCCATTTGCCTAGATGATGTTTGGTGCGTCTGTGAGGGCCGATAGGTGTTTCCCTCAGTGTAAGACCTCAGTGATCTTGTTCTCTCAAACCTGGAGTGACGAGTTCTGGAAGTCCTTGATTGAGTGTCGCCTGTCCTGAGGCTCCTACTCTCTGTTTGCGATGGTGTGGTATGCCTACCACGATCTTCTGAGTGGCGAGGAGGCGTATTGCTTTTGCGCCCCTCTCCTGTCGCCACCCATTTCCTTTTTATCTGGTGCTTCATCAATTCCATGTCCGCCGCCATATTCCTGATTAACTCGTCCTGCTCCTTTACCCGATCCTCCAAAACTTGAGGGTCGATCCTCCGCCTCTGCCTATCAGGACTTGATGAGCGACGGGGGCTGTTACCCCGCCTCCCCCTTGCATCCCTCCAGAGGTTCTGTCACTGGGGCTCTAAATCTGCCATGGGAGGGATAGAAGGCAAACCTTTGTGCCTCCCACCTCCCTCTGGGGTTTGCCCGTCAATGGTGGACTGCGGCAAATCCTCATTGTGCGCCATTGCATCTAATCTAGCGAGGAAAACTTTGATCAAGAGGTTTTGTTCTTTCTGTGATTCCCACAGACGGCGCCAATTGTACGAGCAAGAAATAATCTTCTCATATAATCCTGTTGATCAAGTCCGCGCTCCTCCAAACGTCGTCGCTTTACTCTCTGAAAACACAAACGTGAGCTAGCCGGCGGGTGTGTACCGGATACCTCTCCGATGCCCAAGTCAGCAAAATAGACAAATAGACAAAAGCTCTGTGTATTCGAGAATCAAAGTTGTGTTACCTCTCCATAGGTGATGTTGTGAGCTTTTATAGATTCCGTGTGGCACAATCCTAGTAGGACTCTTATTCCTCCATGCAGAGTCCTCTTTGGAATTGCTCTCCTAAAAGATAATGCTTATCCTTCAACACCCCCCTCACTGCTTAAACCAAGTGAGATGGTCCTAGCTCGGTGGCATGTCCAAACGATCGAGCTAGTATTGCCATGGCACAATGACAATGTAACCAAGCTAACAATACTCATGTTACATTTACCTCGACGCTTTATGTGTAACATGTACCTCGGCTTCACCTGTAGACCGTGCTAACCATAGCGTATTTGGACCGAATTAATTAACATCAAGGTCCTGAGTAAAAGTCAAAAATACCTCGGCTCAAGATGGTTTGACCGAGCTAACTGTCACCACGCCGACTGTGGTGACCGAGCTAACCACCAAGCTCTTTCGGACCAGGCTATCTGCAAGGCTCCTCTGGACCGGACTAATTACAACGCCTTTTTTACTCAGCCCTTCTTACTGTGACCCACAGAATGGCCCATTACCTAGCTCGGCCCAATTTACATATAAATTACCCTCTGGCATAGGGTAATTGTTTGAGTATAGGGTAAATTTAGGTATATTAGAAATCAATGAGCCTTTAGACATGGGTGCCAATTGAGGTTTGTAAGAAGGACATGCATGACTCCAAAAGTTTGACCTGATAGATAAAATTTAGAATTTCAAAGCTTGCCTCTTTTAAGGTCTCAAGTTTAACTACCTTTGCCAATAAAAATTCTTAAGGTCACAAACGGCAGAGCATCAATCCTATTTCAAAAGGTTTGTTTCGGACCATAAAGATTTAATCCGGTGCGTGCAAGCTGCCCCAATATCAAAAAAAAAACAACAACAACAACCAAACTTACTGATAAGTCCCATGTAACAAGTTCAAAACCCAACTAATCCCAAAACAAAATACTTGCACCAATTAGTCCAACACATTTTTAATTGTTACCAAAAAATCTTCTTTTTTTTTTTAATTTATAGACACTGTTCACATCTTACTACCGTCGGACTTCTGTTTAACGGTCGCCGGAAACTCACCGGAATGTCTAGAATATTGCCGGAAAAAAAAAATTAAAAAACATGTTATGAAACTGTAAAATTTTACAGTTCTAAAGAATGTTATAAAACTGCAAAATTTTACAGTTTTAAACCATGTTTCATTCCAGCACCAAAAAAAAAATTTGAAACTGCAAAATTTTACAGTTTTCACTGCCTGTAACTAAAACTCGAAAACTGCATTTTCAGAATTCGAAAATTTTCTCCATTAGAACAGAAAAACAGAAGTGTATAGCAGAGAGAGAAAAAAAAAAGAAATCGAAGGGGAAAGACGGATGACTAACCAAATCTGTGTAGATCTACTCAGATCTGATGTAGATCTGAGTAGACCTATATCAGATCTAAGTAGATCCATTCATCTTCTTCATCGAAAAATATATCATCTTCTTCGTCGGAAAAAATGTTATAAAGAATGTAGAGCAGAAAAAAAAATGTTATGAAAAAAAAAAAAATTAAAAAACATGCTTGCCTCTTTTAAGGTCTCAAGTTTAACTACCTTTGCCAATAAAAATTCTTAAGGTCACAAACGGCAAAGCATCAATCCTATTTCAAAAGGTTTGTTTCGGACTAGAAAGATTTAATCCGGTGTGTGCAAGCTGCCCCAATATCAAAAAAAAAAAAACAACAACAACAACAACCAAAAAAAAAAAGAAGAAGGATATGCATGATTTTGGGCTTGGTTTATTAGTTGGACTTAAAACCAGCCCAAACATATCCATATTTGTGTCAGTTGGAACTCATCCCCAATCTCTATATTCAACGTGTGCTGAGTTTGGTGAGATGGCCCTGTTTTAGAGTGGGCCAACCTCGGGAATTTGTAGGTCATTTCAATTCGGGCTTTTCTTTTTGTCAAATATCGGCCCAGCTCAGCCCGATCCACTTTTTTATTTAAAAAAAATTCAGGCCTAGTTTTCCAGTTGTCTAATAATACCACAAAATAAATAGAATAAAATGAAGTAATAAACCAGTTCAAATCAAATGATATTCCTCTGAACTATTATATAACATGGGTGAGACAAATCAAACTACAAGACGGCTCTACTCCCCAAACAAACTACAAGATTACTACCCTCCAGACAATAATTTCGTTTATTTTCTAAACCACATAATCACATAGAAGCAACAACAAAAATGTAGTCCAGGAGTGTTTGGTGCCAATTAATGCTCAGTTGGCTTTCCTGCAATTGGTCCTAATCTGCCCACTCGTCCCAGTGAGGGGGCTAATGTTTCCCATTTTCACCATCGCATTTGCAAAATCTGTGAAGAAAGTTGCAGAGTTGGAACTGTAAGTGTTGACTTGAGCATCAGTGGAACCCCCATTGAAGAGCTGTTGGTCAGAGTGGAGAAGACCCTTCTGGCTCTGCAAATTTGTGTAGTAAGCGTTGTCGAAAGAGGTTGCACTGGTGGTGTCGAGAGGGGCGAGGTTGTTGTCGCTGCCGGTGCTGGGACAGTTTGCTTTCAGAGCAGTGGCGAATTGGGTGTTTATGTTGGTTTCGTTATAGATGCGGGTTCGGAAGGTTGTACACCTTGCTTGGCCTATTGTGTGAGACCCTGCAGAACATAAAAGAAGCCAAACAAACTTGTGAGGTTATTTTTGACATTTGCATTGAGATAAACATTAGTACTTTAAAGTCTTGAGTTTTAATATTTTTATTGATACAATTTTTCTAGTACAAACCATTCACTTTGGTGTATTAAGTTTATTATATGTCTCATTTTGATAATTAGAATTGGATCCCTTAAGTCTAACTTTAGAGATTATATTCGAGAATTACTTGGTATATATGAAACGAGAAATTACATGTATGTAGAGACTAGTCGAGAAACAACCCTGCAAAAAAAAAAATGAAAATATCAAGCATATTTCTTGTGGATAAGTAGATGTACCTGACAGAGCCACCATTTCATTAGCAGATAAACCTTTGTTTGAGAAGGCAGTGATAAGAGCAGAAAGGTTCAAAGTAGGTCCAGGGATATTAGAGTTAGCAGCACTCAAACTCGCAGTGGTTGAGTCCCTTCTCCCTAATTGAACAGTCCAACTGGGTCCACCCAACTGAAATTAATCCATAAAAACATCTATATGAATTTGTATAATACCCAATTATTAGAATTAGTTGCAAGCTTCCATATATAATGATTCATAGGCTTCAAAAGAATTCATGAATGAAGATTTTGAGTTGGGTTGTTGTTGGCTTACAGCGACAACTGAATCTCTCGCAGCGACAGCTAAGATATCAGCGCAAGAAACAACACCGGGGCAAGAGCTTTCTACTTGGGATTTAATGGTGTCAATCACATCGAATCCTCTCAACGAATTGGCATTTGGAGTGGCTGTCTTTTCTCCAGTGAAGGTCGAATTGTCATCCAACAGCACCGATGCATCACACCCCTGTTTCAAATTTGATATAATTCAGAATGTTAGCCCTTTTTTTTGTTTGTGTTAAGAATCATTGTCAAAACAAAATTTTATAATTTCTGCACGTAGTGGTCCCATATCTTGGTTACGTGCTACAATTTGTGATTTTCTCTTAAAGGTTCAACGCCAATACTTCCAATATATGTGGCAAGCAAAATCATGCAAGTCAAATTCAACCCCTAAATGTTCAAAAACAAGGATAGAATGCCTATAACCCAACTCTTTTTTCTTTTCTTTTTTTCCTCTTTCTTTTTTCCTTTTAACGTACATGTGTTGTGTTAAAATCCTGCTCCAACTAACAAATATGGATAAAAAAAAAAAAAAACCATTTGAACACAAACTCTATACATTAAAGATTAAATCGACACAATTAAAATGTTAGAAATCAAAGCGATACAAAATGCATCTTTCGAGACTCTGGTAAATTAATGAACAAAATTTTCAAGTGCATAGAACTCAATCGCGGAATCAAGCACAAAGCTCAGACACAAACTTCTCATAAGAGAGGTGCCACTCATTAAATGCGTGAGTTCCACCTATGAGATGGTTGTGTTTGATTCGATTTATCGAATTTTGTGGACATAGAATTACTGTAAAGAAAATGAGGATACATAGGGAGGGAGTGAAGAAGACTTGCATTAACGAAGCAATCATGGAAATGAAGACGGAGCAAGGATGCCCCCATGCGAGCCTCACTTGATACTGCAGAGTTCACTGCTGTTTTGATTGTAGTAAGGACATTAGAACAGGTTGATGAGTAGTAAGTTGAAGACAATTGAGCTGAGGCCATTCCAACAATAACAAGGAACAAAGACAAGCACAATGTTAAATTAATGGCTGCCATTGAATAGTTTGAAGCAACAACTGTCTATAACTTCGAAATAAGAAGAAGAAGAAGATGAAGAAGAAGAGAAGGAAGTGTTTGGTGATAGCTACTGAGAAATGTTTCATGTATTTATACTACACTCTTCAGAGTTTGTCCGCGTTTTGCATTTTCTTTCTTCATGGTCCGCGTCAACGTTTCATATTAAAAAAAATTGTAAATTATACTCACCTCTAAAAAAATACAATAAGCTTTATAAATTTAACATAATTATGGTGGATTCTTTTGAGTTTTTGATTCATATAACATTTAACTCATTTCCATCAAAAATTTATTAGTCCTATGAATTAAAAAATGATATATTTTTTTATATTAAAATATATATCTTATCTTGCATATCTTTATATTTTCATATCATTTGCATTTGCATCAGTTTCGAGATTTATTTAATCTTATTAAAATGAATGTCAATCTAATTATGTCAAAATTATGAAATTTGTTATATTAGTGTACTTTATCGTAATAAAAAGAATAGTACTGCACAGACCAAGAATTCATACACAAAAAAATATCAAGAAAAATAATTTGTGATTTAGATCTGTTGGCTTTTTAGCTTTCGAAGGTTATTATTGTAATTATGAGCGTGCCAGCAAGGATCAATCAGTCTATACAGAAAATTAATTGCCAATCAATTATCAGGCGATTGTGTTTTAGTTTTTTCAGCCTCAATGAAGAGGACTTTTACTAGTAGCTTGATTTAGGAGAATTAAGCAAATGGCAATCAAATAAAGAACAATTGAAGCATTTCATTAAAATGAAAAATTACAATAATCCAATTCAGCCTCGTAGAGGTTTACAACAACAATCTACTTCAAACTACTCCTATGAACGAAGTGCAGTGCAGGAATTAGAGTACAGAAATGTAAAGAATAAGAAATATAAAAACTGGAAAGGGAATAAAGTAGAATAAAATTGATTTTTTTTATCTGAGTCTGGAGTTTTTTTCTGGGGCCTTCTCTACTATTTATACTTCTCAAGGATGACCATCGAACTGCACTTCTAACCGTCGAATCGTTCCTCCATAATCGCTGATCATGTTGCCTTATACTTAGCTCCACTATGCCATCACTTGCAGTTAGGCTTCCTTCCTGATTTTTGAATTTAAATGTGAGTAATCGTTGAAGCCACATCACTTTGCATCCTTTGTTGATCCAATGCTACGCAGATCTTGTAAGAACCAATACTAAGTGCCACGTGTACGATCACGATCGAAAACTTGAATAGTCTTCCCGTATTGCTCTTATTTTGCCACGTGTTGAATTGTAATTAGCTTATACAAAATATGTAGCCAACAAAATCCAATTGTTGTATAATTAGGTCCACACTTTGAATGAATTTAGACTACAAATTAATTTTCTTGGTACTTTTTCTGTACCTGAATTTTGATTAATAACATTACTATAAAAAGAATTGAAATAGATTTTGATATAAAAATACCAAAGGTGAAAAATTAAAAGGTAAATTACAAATACACCACACGAGGTTTGCTTAAAGTACAGATTGTTTCCTGTGGTTTGAAAAATTACAAATACCTCCTTGTTAGTATTTTTTTATTTAACAAAATTAATTTAAAAAATGAAATTTATAATTGCTCTCTTATACAATAATAAAATTACCTAAATTATTAATTGAAACATATTTCTAGTATCATTAAAAAATGTTAATTAACTTTATAATTTATTAATCAAATAGACGATTTGTTATGAAATTAAAAACCTCATGGAGTAGAATGTAATTTCTAAAACTACAGGAGCAATTCGTATTTTAATGAAACCTCAAGAGATGTATTTATAATTTACCCAAAATTAAAAAAAGGAAGATGGAGTTTATTTATTTGATTCATGGAGTTTAAACTAGTGTTAGTGTGACCTATTCGGGTTTTGTTGCAGGTTTACTTGATTACGGTTACGCGCATATGTATAATTTAATTGTCAAATTCATTGGAGCATTGACAAGAAGGCTCCAAACCAAATCTATTTACAGGGTATCTATCTATCAACCATCTATGTATTATTTTTTTATTTTTAATTCCCTCTCAAGTCCTATACTTGATTTTAGAATAATATTATAGTCATTCTTTTCTCATTATATTTTCTTATTTAATAGACTTAAATCAATGGATTACATTAATAAATACATGTATGATTCGCTAGTAAGTGACAAACAAAAAATACTGTGAGAAAAAGATTATGGTTGGAGATTTGTAAATCTTTTTTTTATTATTATTATTTTATTTTATTTTGTGAAGAGATGTGAACCTCGAAAGGTTACAAGGCGCTTTCAAAGATTAAACTTTTAGATGGTTAGGAGATATAAATCTGAGTTTTTATTTGTGCGTCGCTAGTCTTTTCAAATATTGTTTTTATATTGAGTAATTTGTAAATAAAATTATGTAATGCAACACAAAAAGCTCCATCGAGGACTTACTTTTAATAATTCAATATGTTCAATTTATAGAGCATTATGTGTATGTTACTTGTATCAAAATCAGATTGATCTTATGATTATAGTCAGATGATTTACTCATATTTGTAAATAAAAAATTAACAATTAGTATAATTTTGAAACTAAATTATCTATCTTTTTAAAAATAAACATGATAAAATCATATGCCTATGATCATTAGATCAATTCAATTCTTTTTATGGATTATCTACACACTTGGACCAATAAAATAAGTTAATCATACTGTTGTGGTGAGGCTGTGATGAGCCTCACGAACATAGACAAGTCTGTCCATTTCACATTGCCTATTCCTAATGGATATTATGAAATCAGTAACACAATGATTACTTTGCATATATGATTGGCTTGGTACAAGTGCCAACTTTATTGGGATGTTCTTCTTAAGCAACAATGGATTTTATTTTATTTTTCCTTCTAGATTTCTCTAATTGATGTAATTTCGTTATTCCACTTGTATTACATAATTCATTCAATAAATTTTATTTTACCAATAAAAAAAATAATTATCATATTTTCTATCATGTTGGTAGAAAACGATAGAGTAATCCTCACAAAACTCTCATATAATTATTTTTTTTAAAAGAATAATGTGAGATTGACATTTTTTAAAATATAATTTATTTGGATAAAATATTTTTAAGTGGTAAGATTAAAAGACACCACATCATTATATATTAAGTTTATGTATAATTTTTTTATTTGTGTATCACTGTTTTTTTTATTTATCATATGAAATGACACATTAGGTTACCTTAAGTGGGAAGAGCAATAATAAAAAAATGTTCCCCACTAAGCTTATGATATTTGTATGACACAATGGTAGCAATTGACCCAATACCATAATATATACGAGTGTCCAATTTGAATTTGGAATCTCACATAATATTATGTTAGATTGATGGATGATGCTAGTTAAGGTATAAAAATTAGATTCACATTTTAAATTTAATGATCTAATAATTTATTAAAATATTTAAGATAATTCTCTATCTTATATTTTCTTTAATTATTAATTAATTATCTCACTTACATATTATTTAATTAAAAATTAACTTATATATCATTTTTCCAATTCATATAACATACATGCATATTCTTTTTCTTTTTCTTTTTTGAAAAAAAAAAAAAACATAAATACATGCATATTAAGATTTCAGTCCCCCTTTGAACGTGTTGACTTGGCAGTCCATGTCTAGCTAGCTGGGTGGGTGTGGATATGTGTCCTACACGAAAGCAAATGGGAAATGTTTGATATTCGTAGCTGATTTCTTTTCTGGGTATTGTTTGGTTTACGTGTATTTTGAATTCTATGTGTGAATGGAACAGTGATGGAGACTCTTGTTCGGTCTCAAAAAATTTAGATTGAGAGATTAGAACTCCCACAAGACTTGGGATTAAAAACTCCCTTTTGCTTAATATATAGTATAGATATATATATATATATATATTTACCGAAATAGCAGTCTTTCCTAAACACCATTTCGCTGTTTCAATTAACTTATTATTAAATCATACAAAATTTTAAAAGGTGACTAAACTATTGCCAGTATGCAATGAGAAAATGATATAAATTTTTTGAGATAAGAAAATCTTCCGCGTAAGAAAAGTTTCTCAAAATGAAATTTGTGAAAATGTAAAAAAATAAATATTTCATTTTCATTTAAAATTTGAGTGACCGCCCAATATATATCTATTAGTTTTAACAAACTGGCATTTAATCACATTACAAATTTGGATGCCAGTAATATATCTTTACCCTTGAGATGATTTTGGGAGTGTTAAGAAAACTCAATAAAATTGGTAATTGATGTAATCTGTTTCAAATCTTCACGACCTTAGGACCGGACTAACTCCAAAATATCCGCACGACCGGAGTACCTTACATGGCCATTTCACTCGGCCTTTTGTACTGTGGCTCATAACGGCCCATCACCTAGCTCGGCCCAATTTTCACATAAATTACCCTCTCAAATCACATTACAAATTTGGATGCCAATAATATATCTTTACCCTTGAGATGATTTTGGGAGTGTTAAGAAAACTCAATAAAATTGGTAATTGATGTAATCTGTTTCAAATTAGTTTTTATTAACTTATTAATTTCAATTTTTTCTCAACTTTGAAAATAGTTGAATCAATTAAATTTATCTGATTCACTGATTTCTTGAAAAGTGTCTTCTTAATAGCAAAAAAATTGATAATATTTTAGAAATTAAAATGTAATTATCCCTATATAAAAATTTAAGAACCAAACGAACTGACATGGCTGAGTGTAATTTGGACAATTACAAAGGACATCGGTGTAATTTGGACCAAAAAAAAAAAAACAATGGCCATGGATTGCAAGCAGAACATGTATTATTTTGGGCTTTGTTATTAGTCGGCCGGGTTAGCCGGGATGGGCCTGTCTTAGAATGGGATGAACTATGGGCGTAGTAAGTTATTTCATTCCGGGCTTTGCTTAATTTCACATATCGGCCCAGCTGAACCTGACCCAGTTGATAGGCCTAGTTTTTCAGTTGTATTTTCATGCTTAATTTAAAGTTCATTACATTTGAACCAAAAAATCATCTAATTCAAATTTT